TACACCATCTGTGTGCTGCCTGGGTACCTTAGCTTTTTTCTGTTTCTGAAGCCTTGGCTAATGCTTCTCTTTTGTTCACTTGGCGCACTCTTTCAGACACATAGCCTTAAATGTAACAAATGCTCAACAAATGCAGACTGATTAATTAGCTACACCTTAGGTGGGGTGGCCAGGCAAGGAGAAGAGAAATGTGTTCTTCCTTTCCTTCTGTTCCTTTCTCTGTTGTGTGTGGGCGTGGCCATCACCAGAGATACTCCAAAGAAGGGCCTGGGCTTCCCTTCATCCTTCCCAGGAGCTGCCCACCCTCGCCACCAGTCATCTGAGCAATGGTGTTTGGCTCTCGCCTCAAGCCCAGGTTGGCTCCACCCCTCACTGTACCTAAGGAACTTGTTGAGGTCTCCATGCTTCATGTACTCAAAGACCATGATGAGTGGGTCGCCCTCCACACAGACTCCATAGAACTTGACAATGTGCTCATGCTGGAGGTTGGTCAGCAGCTCAGCTTCACGGTGGAAGTCCTTGCGGGCATTGTCACTGGCATCCTTCAGCGTCTATTAGAAAGGGGACATCAAAGGGAAGGTCGTTTCAATAGGGAATCCACCAGTGAATCCTGAGGATTTTATAAGGGATGGCCATGTATCTCAGTAATCACATGAAATGTCAGCAAGCACCCTAACTCATGAGGAAGTGATGTTTGTGTTTGTGAGGCCTCGTCCTCATGGGTGTACAGAGGCGTGTAGTCTATGGAGCAGCCTCTCAGATGCATTCTCTGAGTCCCCAGGGAGCTTATCTTACAGGCTTCATACTTCTTACCTTTGGTCTGGACCAATGAGTACGAGGGTTTGTTTTCCATAGCCTCATGGTACCTATTGAGACTTCTATGGTGCTATGCATACCTCACCTCTACTCACGTAACCCTTGAAAAGGTTTTTTAATTTTCATCTATGTAGATGTTTGTGCATGGGGTGATGTGTGTGTGTGTGTGTGTGTGTGTGTGTGTGTGTGTGTGAGAGAGAGAGAGAGAGAGAGAGAGAGAGAGAGAGAGAGAGAGAGAGAG